CTCCGTTTTTCAGCCACTCAGACCAATATTTAGATCCGAAGGATAGGAATCCACAAGCTTCTTGAGGTGCCTCATATTTAATGTGCAGGTGTTCAGGGAGCACCCACCAGCATGTCTGAGTCTTGAAACGTGGCACGAGGAAGAAGTCCCAGGGAGGTGAAGCGAACAGCCAGCCTATGAGCTGACTCAGGATCCAGCAGCCCCTGCAAGGCCGGCATCAAGTGTTCCGCGTAGAAATGCTCATCCCCTTTGAATGTCAGATAAGAGGCAAAGAGAAGTCCTCCGCCCCCCAGGATGACCATGGCGTCCTGGGCCCTCTTCTGGGGAAAAAAAAAAAGAACACATCAGAGGGCCCCTCAAGGCCAGGCTGAGTTCTTTACAGCCCACACCCAGAACACGTAACGACAGGCATGTCCAGCGATGGCCTTCCCTGACACTGTCCTTCATGTTTAATCTCGACCACAGCCTGGTCTCCGTATCACACATGTGAATTGCCCCACATCTGTATGACTTTTGAATGCCTTCTTACACTCACGTAGGTTAAAAGAAATGGTTCTTCATTACCTGATCCTAGAATTAACGACACTTCACCACATAAATACCAATGATCGCCTGTATGGTTTGAATATGCATTGGCTTTCCCAGGAATGCAACTACCTTGTAAATTCAGGGACGAGCGTTCCACTTCGTACAGAACTTTACCAAGAATTGCTCACCGTTCCAAAAATCCACAGTACAGCACTTGGGATAGTGAGTAGGACAATACGCCTACTGTTGCCAGGTGCCATGCAGTGGGTTTGGGCTCCTAGTGGCCCCGAGGGTTTTCTATGCTCTCACCTTTACGAGAGCTGACTGCCAGGTCTTCTTCCCGAGGAGTCGCTAGGTGGGCTTGAATAGCAGCCACGTACCTAACCACTGTGCCACCAGGGCTCCTTAATAAGAGGGAACTCCCTCAAACTTGTGGGAACATCCTCTTTTAATTTCATTTTTCTACCAACTTTGTGAAGCCCCCTCATGTCTTTTTTTTTAAAGATAATTTTATTGGGGGCTCTTGCAACTCTTGTTACAATCCATACATCAATTGTATCCGACGTATTAGTGTCGCTTTTTTCTAGACATTTACTTTCCATTGAGCTCTTCGGGATCAGCTCCTCTTTTTCCCTCGTGGCCCCTTGATAGATTATAGATTGTTATCATTTTCATATCTCACACCGACCGCTGTCTCCCTTCCCCTCTAGTTTCTGTTCTTCTTCCTCCTGGATGAGGGGGTGTGGTTATGTGTCATTCATTGCGATCAGTACCCCCGACCTCCCCACCTCTCCTCCCTTCCCTCTAGCCTTTTGGTATCCTCTTATGTCTTAATAGGCTTGCCATACTTAAGTTTCTGTGTACATGTTCGAAGAACCGACTACCTAGATATCCGGATGAGTCATGCCCCAATATTCACACATTGAAATACAGATTATTTATCATGCCTTACTTTCACTTAATTTCTCCTTTACAGTCCAATTAGGGCATTATGTTGATTTTGAAGTGCTATTAGGAAGAACACTGAGACATACACTCTATTTGAGGACAACAAAGAGGGGTTCAAAATATGAGCGGACTTTACGTCAGTAGAAAAATGGAACCAAAAGAATTTTTCACCAACTTTTTGCAGCCCCCTCATATAAAGAAGAGAAACTACAGGCCTTCTTCAGTGGAGAACCACTACCTGAGCTCAAACGTGACAATCTTTTCTCTTTAATTATCATCACCAGATGGTGATTCCCTCCTTCATTAATTCAATCATCCAACAAATAATATCAAGCACTTCAATACGGGCAAAACAGACTCAATGCTTGCCCTTCCAGGACCATTCGACCTCAGGAGGGCACACTCCGGAGTCGGTGATCACACAACTGTGGAAACGCCAGGGCTGCTAACGGGGTGTGGGGGGTAGGGGGGAGCGGGCAATGGACAGAGCCAACTTAATCTCAGAGGCTTCCATGCCCAGTGACTTAAAGCTAGGGTATAGCATAAATAGGAGTTAACTAGGAGGCTGTGGTGGAGGGAGCAGTTGTCTGGGAGAGTACAAAGCGCAAGGCTCTCAGTGACAATATGATGCACCAAGGAACTGGGGGGGGGGGGGTGTCCGCACGGCACTGAGGAATAAGGGAAAACTTGGCTTAAAAATTAAGTGAGAGGAGGGAGGGGAAAAATTAGGACCCAATGTCGGGGGTTTAAATGGAGAGAAAATGTTTTGAGAAACGATGTACAAATGCGCTTTACACAATTGATGTGTGTATGGATTGGGATAACAGTTGTATGAGCCCCTAATAAAATGTTAAAAAAAAAAAAAATTAAGTGAGAGAGGCTGCAGTCTCAACCAAAATAAAAATTTCAGGGTTTCGTCTCTAAACAAGGAAGTGACATAATCAAGTGTGCCCTTAAGGACCTCTCCTTCTGTACACGGGTACAGACAGGAACTGGAAACACAGGGAATCCAGGACAGATGATCCCTTCAGGGCCAGTGGCCATACCGCGAGGGTAGAGGGAGGGTGAGGGGGAAGGGAGAACCAATTACAAGGATCTACATATAACCTGTCCATCCCTCAGGGATGGACAACAGAAAAGTGGGTGAAGGGAGACGTCGGACAGTGTAAGATATGACAAAATAATAATTTATAAATTGTCAAGGGTTCATGAGGGAGGGGAGAGGAGGAGGGAGGGGGAAAATGAGGAGCTGATACCCAGGGCTCAAGTAGAAAGCAAATGTTTTGAGAATGATGAGGGAAACAAATGTACAGGAGAGCTTGACACAATGGATGTATGTGTGGATTGTGATAAGAGTTGTACGAGCCTCCAATAAAATGCTTTAATAAAAAAAGGAAAAGAAAAGAAACGACCCACAGGAGGAAGACCATGTAATGATGCAGAGAGTGGTGTGATTGACACCACTGCAAGCAGAAGAAACAGAAGGATTGCCCCACCACCAGAAGCTAGGAAGAGAGGACCAATGGATTAAAATGGAAAACTCAGAAACAGAATCAAATCGCTACAGACACCTGATTTCTTATAAAGGACACATTAAGTGGGGGAAGACATAGCCTCTTCAATACACGCTGCTGGAAAGGCATCATTCAATAAATGTTCCACCAGCAAAAGAAAAAAAAAAAGGATCTCTCCTTTGTCTCAGTTCTAATGTCCTCCAGGATACTGCTGGAAGCCCAAGTCAACCAACAAGTATTTCTGCACTTACAAGAGTCAGAATCAGCTCCTGGCATCAAACGACAATTACTAGTTGTTATGCCCTGGGGCGGGGAGATAGGGCCCTGCTCTTCCGTAGCGTGTCGAGAGGGCTGGGACCCAGTCTAACTCTCCACGTTACGTCTTGCACACCATACCGCGGCGCAATGGGTTCACTGAATGCCTCAGTGCCAAACGCAATAAAACTAGGCCCACTTCCATTGGCCCAAGGATTGGCAATTATCTAACCGTATTCGTGCCCTTTCAAACACAATCACAAGTAAACGTGTGAATGCACACGCACGAGCACTTTAAGATGTTTCCTACAGGGGCTCAGGCTCTTAGAGTCTCCTTACACCCACACCTCACCCCGACCAGCTCTCGTGTCTGCCCTCGCTGCACTGCCAACCCTGACGCCTCCCCGCCAGCCCGAGAGCCTCGCTCGGACTCACTTTCAGATGTCTCCACGCCATGCTCTTTCCGCGCCCGGGTCAGCCCCGTGCCTCGCTCCCATTGGAGGAGATGGCGGCGGGCTTCCAATCCCCGCCCCAGCACAGCCAGCCCACCAATCGCCGTGAAGGACGGCCCAGGGGCGGGTACCTCGGCCAGCGGATAGGCCCTGCTCGGAGCCGCGGAGCTGGTTGGGCGCTTGTGCGCCTGTGCGAACGGCGGAGGCCACGCCTCTTCCGGCCGCGGTCCTGTCGCTGAGGGGCGCTGTGGAGGCACCTTCAGTGGTCGCCCGCAGAACCGAGTATCAGGAACTGGACGGGCTAGCAGAGCTTGTGTGACAGCCGGGAGAGCCGGTGAAGACGGGAGACTCGGTGAGGAGGCTCAGGCCTCTGGGAGCCCCTGACGCCAGTGGTCTCCTCCGAGGTGCCCAAGAAGGGAAGGTCACCCTGAGGGCTATGAACACCCAGTGCGTGGAGGAAATGACATCTTAAAATTGTCTTCGTGGCCAGTCTGCACTATGGTTTTTAACGCCATAAAGAGAGAAGGGGAAAAAAAAAAGTAATGCTCTGATAACCCCCGTGTGTGCAGAGAACTCCCTAGGGCTCTCAGGAGAAGCTCCCCAGGCCTGCCTTCTGCATTACCCCTGGGTGGATTTGAACCCCCAACCTTTCAGTCTGTGAAATTTCTTTATTAAAATAAGAATTCTGTTTCTCAGCTATATTGATAAAAAGATGACTGTGTTACTATTCGGGGCTCCTAGTGGCAGAGCGTGTTATACATTGAACTGCTGATAGTAGTTGGAAGTCACCAGCCGCTCTGTGGGAGGGAAGGTGGAGCATTCTGCTCCTGTAAAGATTTAAAGTCTCAGAAGCCTAATGAGGCAGTTCAACCTATGGCAGTGTTGTAGGGGGAGCAAAAGAGAACCCCGAGTTCACATATAATTTATAGAGACACGTTTATTAAGGCTTAAACAGGATAAAAACAAGAGAAAGGCAAATCATCCCAATGAGACATGGGGCTATAATGGCGTCCACAGATTTTCAGGTAGTGAGCCACTTAGGGCACTAGAGGGCAGGGTTTCTGAGACTACATGTCTTTACAGGAGCAGACACCTTCTCTTATTTAATTTATTTATTGGTTTACCTTAGAGAGGCTGGTGGATTTGAACTAGACTTTGCAGTTAGCAGCCCAATGCTTATCTCACAGCGTCAGGGCTCCTGAGCTGATGGAAGAATACCAAGGAAAACACAACTGGTAGAGGATGGCCCAGGTGGGTATAGAATCTCCTAACAAAAAAATCATGATTAATGCTGTTGACAAGCGCTGGGTCTACAGTATCAATTGTCCAACAGCCTGGGCATTGTTCCAAGTAAGAGATTCCAGAATTCCTGCATGGGACACGATTGCCCCCAGAGGAGTATAAAGTGACACTTATCAACATGTATCCCTGTAATCTATCACACTAAAACAAAATTGCATACTCAAGGTCTGGATGAGAAATTTAGTATTCTTAAAACTGTTCTACAACTGTTGCATCAAAAAGAACATCAACGTAAAACAAAGGCCCAGTTGTCCATTAGGTTGTGTAGGCCTAGTACCAGGACCCACAACACAGGGGCTCATGAAAATGTTTTCTTTTAGAATCAGAAAATAAACTATTTTAGCCAAATGTTTACATATGTAATAGTAACGTCCCAAAACTAAACAAAAAACCAAACACACTGCTGTATTAGAGTTTAAATTCTAAGCCCAAAGGTTAGGGTTACAGTGAAAGCCCCAGATTCACTTTTTGAGTCTTTGTGTGGTGTAAGCCTCCATTGAACTGTTTCTATTTGACCCACAATGTGAATAGCCCTGCCCTGAGGCAGAGTGCATTAGCAGAGGGTTACTACTACTCTTCTAGCCAGCCCACTGAAGGGTGTGAAAAGGAGTTGGAATGTGGGTTATAGGTCTGTGTAAGATACCTGAGTTGATGATCAGAGAGGATTCTATCAGCATCAACTTTCACTAGGAAGCTGAAATTATGTATGTGTAACAATGTATACATACACAAAATGGCTTTAGTGAAACACTTTTCAAACATTCTTTATATTCTGACTTAACTAACATATGTTTGGAATTAAGACTTTGTGAACTGAAAACTGGAAGCATCCCCCATCCAGATAAGGCCATTGTAATGTACTCTTGGTAAGGGTGGAGTCCTCTGCTCACACACCTTCCAGATAAATGATACTCTTTATCCTGGCCTTTAAATTTTTCATTTTTCTGGTTTTAGCCCCCATAATTGTCCTCCCAGCTTCTCCATACACTCAACGATTTCTTTTTCTTAATAAATATCTTCCATTTCCCCACCTCTGCATTTATTCTTGTTTACTCCTCAGCCAAGATGCCCTTTTCATCTGTCAAGATGTGTCTACCCTTATATGTTCCATTCAAATGCTGGAAACTATTTCTTCATCAGCTGAACACTTACAGCATTTCCGCCATGCCTCTGTGGTGCTATTTCTCACTGTCTTTATTTATTATAATTATTATATCTTTTCTTTCCTCATTAAACTATAATGTGTCCAGAAGGAGAGACCATACCAAATACAGTCTTCATTTGACAACTGTGGTGTTTTCCAAATTGGAAGATATATTCTTAGGGCAGCACTTCAAGCAATTGTTCATTCGGTTTCCCCTTCCATAATTAAAAATTAATATAAGCATATTATGGATCATTTAGACAACCACCTTTACCTCTGAAACCAGCCAAGAGGTTTCAGTGTTCATAATTGTTTGCCTCTGTGACCACCTTTTGGCACCAAGAAAGAGAACTGGCTGGAATACCTAGATGATGGGAATGCACCAGATGGGGACCAAATGATATGCTGTATGAACAAAGGCAAATAAAGAAAAGTGACAAGAGAATTAAATCTCTCCTACAGCGTGAGCTAGAAAGAATCTGACATGCAAAAAAACATGTTTACATTTGAATTTCAATGGCTTTCAGTTTTATATTTAATCCGTATTCATTTTGTCATCAAATATTTATTTTTTGGGTTGCATGGTTGTGTGTGCCTAGTTTTATGTTTGTATCTGTTTAAGAAACAGAATACTAAAACCAAACCTGTTGACTGTAACTCACACAGCAGAGATTTTTTGCCCCCTCAGGGTTCCCAAGGCTATAATCTTGATGGAGGCAGATGACAAATCTTTCTCTAGCAGAGGGGCGTGCGGGTTCAACACACTGACCTTTTCGTTAGGAGTCAAGTGCCTGACCACTGTGCCACCAAGACTCTCAAGAAACAATACAATAAATTCATCCTGAAAGACTGGTGTTTAAATATAGATATACATTTAAATTAAATCTTAGCAACATTGAGTTGACTATTCATCATCCTCTACTCCTTACAATATGAACTTTAACAAAGATCTGTTATGAAGATAAAGGCATATCCAGTTGTGTAGACACAAATGGTGTCCCAACTGTAATGGCCCATTACATTATTGATCTCTGGTATTTGTTTTCCGCTTACAGAAACTCCATCTGGGCCCTAAAAACAAACACACACAAAAAAACTCTTTTGTCATTTTAAAAACTGATTCCCAATTCCAAAAAGAACAATAAATATGACATACCTAGCAATAATATAATAAAAGCACAAGGCAGCTCCTGGAGCCCCAGACTTTTCTGGCTCTTCAAAAAGAGCCTGGCTCTGGGTATACTTCAGAACTAGTATCCTTCTAGCAAGTGGGTTAGATAGCCCAGAGCAACGTGGAGAAAGTACTAGTTATCAGCTTAACAAGTTTCACTGTAGCTTTGAGGAAGCAAAAAAGTACTGTCTTGCCCAGGGAGCATACCTTGCAACACATGGAACAAGGAAGTTCAAGATCTCATCTGGGACTTTCTGGAAGATGGGAAGAGGTAGTGGATTGGGCAACACTTAATGCTGTTGAGGAAACATCAACAAAGCAACTCAGGTAAGGCTCTAAAGTTTAATGTCTATGAAGGAAACTTCCTTTTATTCTGAGACGGGAGAGAGAAGATTATTTCTGTCCTACTTTTGTGTGCAAAAAATAAAAAGGCAGTCCCTTCATCACCGTCATTCCCCTGGAATGTGTCCACTTTTGTGCAAAAGCCTTTTATTTGTCTGTGCAGCAAAGATGATGAGATTTTACCTCAAGTTACCCAAAATCCAAAACCCAAACTCACTGCCATCATGTTGATTTTAAATCGTAACAACCCTACAAGTGGAGTAGAAGTGTAAGTTACAAGGCTATCAACATGAAGGAGATTGCCACATCTATCTCCAAAGAAGTAGCTAGTGGGTTCCACCATTAGTCTTTTGATGAGCAGCCTATAACTCTATCACTGCCCCACCAGCACTGCTTCACCCTCATGTTAACGTGCCTCATCGTCCCCTGGCCAATACAGCGGAAGATTCTGAAGAGAGAAACCCTGTTGGGTAACTTTTTCCCTAATAGGTTAACATCTCTTCATTATTCCCGGCTTTCAGTTTCCTAATACAAGGGCTAAGAGAGCAATCTGCCTATTGTCTTTCTCACACAAGTATTTTCAAAATTCCCTACATAATCTTTGGAAGCTTAGAGGGGGAAAATTCCGAGGCATTGTATCATTTAGGGCTAGGTGGATTAATTGTAAACCTTGTAAGAATGAACCTGTAATTTGATAAATGAATAATAGATAGTATGTGGGAGGAAGTCCTAGTTTTTTCCGTCTGTTGGAAGCTATCAAAATTTGGTTCTCAGGTTTAACTTTTTAAAAATGTCTAAGTTGGGGTGTGGAGTTCCACTGGGTGCGATCTTTCTTTAGCAGATGGTGTAGCTAGCCAGCCAGGCCACAACGCCCACCAGGTACACCTCTGTGTACAGATACTCGGATTGGATCTCTTCAGAAGTGGACCTCTGCTCACTGAGGTATTATTTCATCTGGTTAAATGATAATACTAACTGCTGACCGAGCCCTAAAGTTTGAAAACTAATTCTAAATAAGGAGAATATGTGGGAGTATTTGTCCAATGGTCTGTGAGTAATGGATCCTGGGGAGAGACAGATTTTTATTTTCATTCTATTGGCTGGAGTAATAAGCTCTGTTCATTTGTAGTGCTTTTTATATGCATCTTACTCTTTTTCTTCCAGATCCCACTCTGGGAATGACTTGGGTGGAAAAATAAATAGCAGGAAAAATTATATTGGTAACCACCACTTTCCACCAGACTTGGGGCTTTGGATGCTGATGCGGGTAGGTGGGTGGATTTGGTGGGAGGCGTCCGTGGAAGGGCTCTTTTGAGTGCTTCCGTTTTCTCCTTGAGGTAAGAAGTAAGTTGATCGCCACTGGGGAAGACTCCTAGGCACTGGAGACCAATTTCCTACAAGAAAAGGGTAAATAGTTCAGTCTGTTCCTGCTCCACCTTCCACTATAGATGAAGTAGAGAAGAGGAAATGGGAGTCATTTATGAGAGTCAACAAATAAAGGAATCGTTTCTTGAATAAGAATAGCCAAGAGCTGTTTCCTAGGAAGTGGCACTAGCCACTGGCTCCCTTCTCCATGGCTCACGGACTCGTTCTCTGCTGAGTTCAGCAATTCTTGTAGCTCACACCGAATTCCTGGTTCTGTTATATGGTTTATTAAGGCAAAGGATACACCTGAGTAACTTGGGTCAGAATTAGCAGGATACAACTCAGGAGTAAACAAGGGGCAACATGAAGAATCTTTCAGGCCAGGCAGGAAGATCTCTAAATGGATATGTGCAGGGCACATCTCCTACCCAGGAAGCTCTCCTGCAAGGATTCTCCCCATCAGGAGAGTTCTTGTGCCGCAGGCACTGAGTATTGCAGACATTCATTGGCCAGTCCAGAGACTCATTGTGGATTACCAGGTGGGCTCCCAGGCTGACCCCCTACTCATTTATACAAACCCTCAGTTGTGGCCAGTGTAGCCCAACTCCTTGTAAGGATTGTTTCAACAGAAGCTGCTTGAGGTAAAATGGCTCTTGCTCTCACAAAGACTGAGGAAATGCAGTATGGTTCATGATCCCAGTATCGCCACTCCCACCCCTGGTCCTGAAGGGATCATCAGCCCTGGATTCCCTGTGTTTCCAGTTCCAATCTGTACCAGTGTGCATCCTCTGGTCTAGCCAAACTTGCAAGGTAGAATTCGGATCATGATAGTGGGGGAGGAGGAAGCATTTAGGAACTAGAGGAAAGTTGTATTTTTCATCGTTGCTACATCGCTCCCTGACTGGCTTGTCTCCTCCCCGATCAAAATATCTTTTTTAAAGAAGAATAATCAAAAGTAGAAAATGCAAAAAGTAGAAAAATGCAGAATAGAATTTAAAATCCTCATGGACTTCAGCCTGTCTTGAAATTATTGCCCTAAGATAATCTTTCCTTGAAACTGTTGCTCTAAGATTATCTTTCAAATTTAAATGAAAAGTATCCCCTGTAGTCTTCTTAAAACCAAATAAGAGGGATAGCTTAACTAGGAAAAAATTTCTTCCTTGAGCATTAAGCCCTTTTAAGATCTTTCTATCTGGGATCAAAGTGAGTACAGCAACTCAAAAGGTTAAATAGAAACCTTGAGAGTAGTGAGCTTACATTACTGGGGGGAACAACTCAGAAAAGGATGGTGAGAATAATTGCATAACTTGAAGAATATAAGTCAGTGTCACTAGGTTGTACAGGTAGAAATAAATGAACTGGGTTTGTATTTTGCTGTGTGTATTCTTAATAGAGAATCCTGGGTGGTATAATGGTTACACGTTGCACTACAAACCAGAAGGTAAGCAGTTCAAACCACCAGCAACTCCTTGGGAGAAAGATAGGCTTTCTATCCCTTGAAGAGTCACAATCTTGGAAACTCCCCAGGGCAATTCTACCCTGTCCTGTAGAGGGCCTCTGTGAGTTAGAATCAACTCTATGGCAATGAGTTTGAGTTCATACTCTCAATAACAACAAAATTCATAAATATTTAAAATTTTTATTTGCTTAAAAACTTTGTCCTATTTCAGTATTCCTAGTTTGTTCTTTTGGTTGTTGTTTTGTTCTCATAACTTTTAATCTTTTAAAATAAATGTCATTCCTTTTTTATATATCTTTGAACAATCTGAAATACTTCTCTTAAATCCTTTGTCAAATGGTTTTATGAAGTTACTTTCTTCTGGACTGAAATTTATGTGTATCAGCAGCCTTTCTCAGCATTAAATTTCTTCATGGGCTCTATAATTTGGGTTTGTAACTTCATTTTGAATAGAAGACTATTATTAAATATGTTTGCTTTTCTACTTCTCTTTGTTCATACCCATCCTTGACTAGTAGTTTTATTACTATTTCTTTTAAACCCTTTATATATCTAGACTAGAATTAGGCCTAATGATAGCATTTTGAAGCATCTATTGCTCAATGCAAGTGGGGTAATTGTAGATCTTGTCATAAGCCAATGGAAGGCTTGGCTTAGTACCTGATCACGATGTTGTCCTTTTCTCTCACCTCCTTACTAATAAAGTTGTAGCTTTTGGAAGTTTTTGTGGCTTTGTTTGTTCTGTTTTCTATCCTTTCATAAGCTCTAGCTCCAACCTTTGCTTCTAGCAGTGAGTGTGGCGTTGTTTCCTATCCCCTACCTTATGAAACACTTTTGGTCTAGTTACCCTTGTAAAAGCCAGACTCACTGTGCCCTGCTTTCTTCCAGAACCAGACCCCAGCAATTCTACAGCTTCTATCACACTCACCACCTGTGTTAGTCTGGATACTTTAGAGAAACAAATCCACAGAAACTCATGTATAAGAGAGAGTTTTATATAAAGGTTAAGTGCACATCAAGAAAACATCCCAATCTAGTGCTGCCCAAGCCCACAAGTCCAACATTAACTCATATGCCCGACACCAAACCACAAAGTCCTCCTCCATCTCACAAAACACACGCAATGATGCCGACTGCAGGAGGAAAGCCAAATCAGTGAGCATGTAAGCATCTCAGCGCTGGCAGGGGTCTCCACATGGCTGCTCCAGCACCAGGGCTGCATCGGTGTAAGTCCATGTAGCTTTTTCTCGGGGATGTCCTGCAGGAAGTGAGCTTTGCCAGCTGAAGCAGGAAACTGGCTAAGGCAGCTACACCCTGGTCCAACCATTACAAAGCAAGAGACCTGAGAACTAGAAAGGTGAGGCTCACGGAGCCATTTATATTTCTGCCCTTCAATTAACCCCACCTGTGTTTATCGGCCAGGTCGGCAAAATAAACTTTCACTATCTCACCACCTTCTAGTGACACATGGTATACCTAATGGTCTTCACCAAGACTACGGTTCAAAGATACCTGTTTTTCTTTGGTTTCCTTATTCATTGTCTAGTTTTCTCTTGAATATGAGGTCATTGAACATACCATTGTTTGGGCTAGGCACACCTTAGTTGAAGACTATTCAATCTCTTGTAAGGCTAAAACAATTAAAAATGTTAAACTCTCTTATAATACAAGCAATTCTTATTTTGAAAACCTTTACTCTAAAATATCAAAAGAACAATATTATTATGTCATTTAAGCACTGTGCAGATCTCTAGAGATGACTCTAGTTCAAGTTCATGTTCATAGAAGGAGTGCACAGTGTCCAAGAAGATCTTGAGCACTTTCACAATGAAATCTCGTGTCTCTCCCCTCCTAATTTCTCTTTGTAGACACCTGTTTTCTGCCACGATTGTAGAAAAGTTCACACAAGATCATCTATGGCTCTCAGTTGTAACTCGGCCTCCCTGGAACCAGTTTGCAAGGGTCCAGCAGCTCAGTTGCTGCATGACCCTGCTTCTCTGCAACATGGTCATCAATGTCATGTTCTGGAAGATGAATGGCACCCCTGCCAAAAGAGACGAGCAAGGTGTGAATGAACCCTGATGTGTGTGTGTGTGTGTGTGTGTGTGTGTGTG